CTCTTTAATGTGATTGTACATTCAGGCAATTAATGGAGTTCCCTAACAAAGATGTGCAAAAAAGCAATACTGTTTAAACAGTACTATACTGGGAATAACTGCTGTTGCACAAGTTGTTACCTTGTCTGTATATTAACAAATTTAGATGAGATAAACTCATGACCATTTCTCACACATTTCCTCCTCTGTTTTGTTTCAGATCAGCTGTCAGTGGTTATGGAGGCCATGCAGCCAAGATCAACTGGGATGCTTGTTGCCATATTTCTTTTTGTTGCAATATTGTCATGATCTCTGCTTTGATTTGTTATGAATTCAGTTCTCTATTTTTTTGTTGTTGTAATGTTCCAGAATAAAGCACAATAAATAAGTAATGGATGTATTTAATAGTGACAGTGAATAAAAAATATACTGTTGTACATGGACTCGGGTCACTTATTTGGAATTTATTCAATTCAATGGCATTCATGTAAAATATTATAGTTTATAAAATAAATAGTCAAAAATTAATTACAGTAAAATTACTGTAATATACTTTAAAGCTAAGTTACAGTAAGGATACAGTACTGTAAAATGAAGTTGCAGTAAGGGTATTTCACTGTAAATTTAAATTGCGGTAAGGCCATCATACTGTAAAAGGAGATTGCGGTAAGGGCATTGTACTGTAAAAAGGAACTTGAGATAAGCTACTGTAAAGGGATAGTTACAGTAACTTACTGGCAATAGTGCTGCCAGTAATTTACCGCAAAAATACGATAAAAAGTCTTAACAGTGCACCTGTTTCTCAATGCATTTTGGGGGGGAAGAAACGCAGGAGTAAATGTTTGTTTAAGAGCAGGTTCTTCATTTCTGTACAGAAATGAAGTGTAGCCTACCACTGTATTCTTGTTGGAAATACATTTTAAATCAGTACAGACAATACAGATCCATGTTGGTTTTTCCATGTAGGCCTGAACAATATAAAGATGTTAGTGTTTGATAAAGTGGTGTCTCTCATACCATGATGTTTTTCTTTTCTTCAAGGGTTAGTTCACCCAAAAAGAACATTTACTCATCCTCATGTTATTCTAAATCCATAAAACATTCCAAATTAAGAATGAAATATGGGAGATTTCTGTCCATCCATTGACAGTCCACACAACTATCACTTTGATATTTAAAGTTTATAAAGAAATTGTAAAACTAATCCATGTGAATTGAACACACCAAATTTTCTGAGGAAACTTCATCACTTTATATGATGAACAGATTGAATTTAGGCTTTTATTTGCATTCATAATCAACACACACATGAGATATGGGAAGCTCAAGCATGCTTGCTTGATATGCAAGAACCAGTGAGGTTCATTCTCATGTTACACATCATGTTTAAGTTTCAGATGAAAAAAACGGTGGTCAGGAGATATGAAAACTGGCTATTTTTGCTTATATCTTCTGAACAGTTTGGACAAAAAATCACAAGACTGGTCTGTTTAGATTCAGCACAACAAGTTAATCAATACTCAATTTTACCATATTTGGCCATCAGCCATTTAGAATTGTGTCATAAAATGCTGTATTTTACAAATGCATTGACATATACAAAACTTGATATGTAGTGGGGCCATGCCCTGAAGGATCGCAAACTTTTTTTGTGACCACCACCTTGTGATCAAAACTTAAACTGAAATTTAAAAAAATGCTTATTCATCTAGCCTATTGTAATGACACTGATCTTACCTGATTCCTGATAGACTTTCTAGCTATTGACGCCTTGGAAACCAAACCAAAGTTTCAAAAACGAAATAGCCTATAAAGTGAGGTAAGCAATATGTACTTAAATATTTAATTTCTCACTTACAAAAAGAAATACACGACATTTGCACATTTCACACAGTAAGGTTTCACAGTTAATCACTGTTTGATTTGAGATCATTTATTATCTGTTAGATCATGGATGATCATGCATATTGTGGTAAACGATGAGTTTCAGAATAGCAGGAACGGAAAAAAGACCTTTAACCACACGCTCATCCTCTAACATGCTCTCAAATGCACGGCAACCACAACTGTTCAATAATAGGCACTTATGCACATCTATAACAACATGAGCAAAACCATAACAGGTTTCACTCAGACTCTCAAACAGCTGCTACTCAGTGGGAATGGTGTGAAGTGCAGTTTTTATATCATAATACCATGTATGTTAATGTTTAGATTTTTGTTCCAGAATAGATGATTTGAGGCCCCTACACATCAGAGTGGATTCTCAACAATTCCAAAAAATGTCTGTAACTTCCAAAGATCAGAAATCACATACTGAATCCAAACGTCTAGTGAAAGGGACTTGTACTCAGGAATGTTTCCTCATCTTATGCAGACAGTTGCATACTCCACATGAGTCTCCTCTGTAGCCCTCTAAAAAAAAAAACAGCACACAAGATACAAAAAGAAAATTACATTTTCTAGTTGCGCACAAAATCAAGCATTCATTGTTAACGCATAGTTCATAAACAATGCAAAAGTGTGATTTCCCAGGCTAAAATGAACACTGTGCCAAATATTGTGTTATTATTAGACTGCATCAATGAAATTGCCCCAAATACCATACAGCTTGACTGTCACACAAACTATTGACATCAACAACAAAAGATATCAGATGTGTTTCCTCTTCCATTTAAAAGTCTATTTATTTTCCTAACCTAACTATGCACAATTATATGGTTAGCTGACTCATCTTATTTCCATCTAGGATTATGTGCATGTCAGATCATCATATAAAGCACAATAACTCACCATTTTTTGTGGATTTCTTTTGTAGAATGTCGGATTAGTGTAAATGATCTCTTCATCGGGATTCTGAACTGTTGCATCATCAACTTTGAGAACTATAGCAAATAAAAATAAAAAAACATGCATTATTAACAAAACTGAAATGTAATTACATCTTTGTCTTAAAATGTAATTTAATGCACGTAATCCACAGAAATTGTCAAACCCAAAAACCACTCATACTATTTCCAGTGTTTTCTTAAAAGTAGGAGGCGCTTGCCTTCTTGATCAGTTTTTCTATATTTCCTGCAAATGCAGAAGATCCCGACTGCAACTAAAATCAACAGAGATCCAGCAGCAGAGATCAGCAATATCAGAGAGACTGGTGCTGTAATGACAAAAAGAAGTGAATGTATCTGTTTTGCAACAAAACAGAGATCAGGTCAGAAAATAACCACATATATCAGTGCTGTCATACCTGCACATGTGTGACAGAGTTGAGTGATGTCCAGATGTGTGGTCTGGTTACTGATGGGATTGTTGAGCACACAGCTGTGGCTGGTTTTATCCTGATATTCCACCTCCAGAGGTAGAGAGAGACTGATGCTGAGATCAGACACACTGATGCTGGACAATAAACTGTTTCCTTTGTACCAGGAGAGAGTCACATAAAACTAATCCATGTGAATTGAACACACCAACTTTTCTGAGGAAACTTCATCACTTTATGTGATGAACAGATTGAATTTAGGCTTTTATTTGCATTCATAATCAACACACACATGAGATATGGGAAGCTCAAGCATGCTTGCTTGATATGCAAGAACCAGCGAGGTTCATTCTCATGTTACACATCATGTTTAAGTTTCAGATGAAAAAAACGGTGGTCAGGAGATATGAAAACTGGCTATTTTTGCTTATATCTTCTGAACAGTTTGGACAAAAAATCACAAGACTGGTCTGTTTAGATTCAGCACAACAAGTTAATCAATACTCAATTTTACCATATTTGCCCATCAGCCATTTAGAATTGTGTCATAAAATGCTGTATTTTACAGACACACTGATGCTGGACAATAAACTGTTTCCTTTGTACCAGGAGAGAGTCACACAACTCACATTCACCACTGAACACACCAGTGAACAGTATGATGATGATGATAATAAACAGTCTCTGGTGATGTTAGGAACAGGCAGACGAGCTGCAAAACATCAGAGAATAAACAAAATGCTTGGTTTATTGAGTGAATATTTGGTATTTTACACTATAAATAGCTACAGGAAAGTAAAATAAAAATATGCGAGTGGGCAAATGATCTTTACTCACCATAGACAGAAACACTGGTATGATGATGATGATGATAAACAGTCTCTGGTGATGTTAGGAACAGGCAGACGAGCTGCAAAACATCAGAGAATAAACAAAATGCTTGGTTTATTGAGTGAATATTTGGTATTTTACACTATAAATAGCTACAGGAAAGTAAAATAAAAATATGCGAGTGGGCAAATGATCTTTACTCACCATAGACAGAAACACTGAATGTTTTTAATGTCACTTTCACTCCACTTATCTGTAGTTTATAAACTCCGGCATGTTCTGTTCTGATGTTTGTGATGGTCAGAGATCCAGTTTGATTGTCCAGCTTCAGTCTGTCTCTGAATCTCCCATCAGGAACATCATCAAATATGGAAGAAATTTTATTCTCTCTATTGATTTTAGCTATAAAAGACTTTTGATCTCTATAATGCCAAAATATATCCTCAATTTCACGTATTTCAGTAACATCAGTGTTTAGAGTGACAGAATCTCCCTCCATCGCTGACTGTGTTTCATTTGTTTCAGCACCAAACACACCTAAAGAACACGAAAAGGCTTTGATTCTTGTTGTCTCAAAAACCCTGAAATCAGTTTCTAAACTTTAAATGTGAATTGAAGAACAGCAGCGGAGACACAAAAGATCAAATATCACTTAAATAAATGGACCGATGAGCTTGATTTTTTACCTTTAATGTGTGTGTGAAAATAAACATTTCAGATTCGTAAAACGTTTAAAAGTTTAATTTTGCTAAACTTTTTGAATCATGATTGTATAACAGGTTTGCTGAAAGGCGGCCTGGATATAAAACAAATCTCAGTTAATGTTCTGAAACACAAAGAAATGAATACCTAAAAATGTTTTATAACTTACCTAGCAGCCGTCTCCAGCACAAACAGAACAAAACGAGCATGTGAAACATTTTCCATTGAGTGTCTGATCTAAAAAGCCTATATCCGCTGAAAACACTCAAGCTGGTATGAACCCTCCCACAACAGAGTTTGACCCTCCTAATCCACACACACATGCTGTGTACGACAGATAATTACATATAAATGTCCCTCTGACCCTTATTGAGATTTGAAATGTTCTTTATTGAAAAAGCATTTCTTTTTTTTTTCATTTAACACTGGTGCTTTTTGAAGAGTAATTGTCAGACTGTGTTAAGCGTGTAAAGGATGAAGAGTGCAATGTGTAAATCTTCCTAAATTTCATGGTAAAATAACAATTATGGATTTTAAAATGGTTTACAAACATTTAGTTGTATAGCCAGTGATAAAACAGGTAGAATCATCTCCCATCTTACTGAATTGTGACAGCAGCTCAACTTCTGATTCAAACTGAAACCTGCTGCGGTTTGATTTCCTCAGAAACATGGTGCGATCTGTTATGTGGACACACATCTTGTGCATGTATGATTAGCTTGTAGGTGGAAGGTTTCCTGCTATTATGACACAGCTCAGTGTTTCCCCTGCCATTAGGGGGGCGAGCCGCCCTCCCCCCCTTGAAGGTCAAGTTCATTTTATTTAATTATATTTTCTCTATAGCGCCAGATCACAACAGAAGTCATTTAAAGTTACCTTTCCTATAGAACTAAATAGCCTTATGTTTTTTATCTTATTTACATGACGGCATGTCATTTCGGTCTCTATATGTTATGGTCACGCTCTCTGTATCAGGCACAGGTGCACACACACACACGTGAGCACACTCCCACTTGTATTTGTAAATATTAAGCCGCAAAACGATTCATATTTAAATATGAATTCTGCGTGTCTCTGTCAATGAATGGAGCAGACTGCGGTTTTGTTTACCACTTGTACTGAAGCGCGCGTGACGCTTGCTGTGATTTTACCGTCTGCTCTCACTAAATGAGGACATAAATACATGAAAAAACATCTCCAGAACTGCTCTGAGAGTCACTTCATGAGCATTTGACCGTATCATTTGAGTAAAACTATCCTCATATCCACACATAAATGTAAAGGTATTCACCGCAACCCGTCAAAATAGAAGTTCGGTTTAAAGGTGACATATTGCCCTTTTTACAATATGTAATATAAGTCTCTGGTGTCCCCAGAATGTGTATGTGAAGTTTCAGCTCAAAATACTCCACAGATCATTTATTATATAATTTTGAAAATGCCTATTTTGAGTGGAAGCAGAAACGCGCTGTTTTTCGGGCCTGTGTCTTTAAATGCAAATGAGCTGCTGCTCCCCGCCCCCTTTTCCAGAATAGAGCTGCGCCTTTACAGCTCGTACCTGCTGAAAACATCTGTTTTGGTTCTGATTATCATGTTTATCGTGCTGAAATCATGCGTTTTAAACCATATGAGTTTAAACTTCAGATATAAGGTTTTCTGAGCGCACACATTTGAAGCACACGGACAGAAAGCGGCTGTCACTCACAGCATGCGAGTACTAAACTAAGCTCTCATTCACACACAAGTTTACGTTAAACACACACGAGTTACAAAAACAGTCGGTTATGTCTGTGAAGGTAAACAGCCGGGAAATAA